TATATATATATATATATATATACTAGCTTAAGGGTGACTTCAAATTGATTAAAGAAACTTTTTAATAAAATTGTTCTTATATTTTGGTTTTATTTCAAAATATTTTGAAGCTTTAATTTTCTTTTTTAAAAATTCCGAACAAAAGTTTTTAAAAAGAAAACATATTCTCTGAAGGTAGGAGCTAAATAAAATTCTAAATCGATAAAGGAATATATTCCATGCTTAATTACCAATGATAATGAGTAGAGATTGCATAATTATTTATTATTATTAAATAAACATTTCGTGCACTTTATAAAAAAATAGATTAATTCAAATGAATTCATTTCATTTAAAAATATCCTTGCATTTTAATACGTTAGAAACTTAATACAAAATTTTAAAAAAACTAAAACAATAAAAAAAATTATTTCCTAAAATTGAAACAAAAGTTTATGCATAGGTGTATTTATAAACGACTTCACACGCCATTTGAACAATGTAAAAATTTGTTATACCATTTAGAAAAAAAAGAAAAACAGCTTCTTGAATAAAAAAATACCTTTCCTTGTAATCAGTGGTCATTAGTTTATTTACAAAACTAAGTAAAAAAAGAAAAGAAAAGGGAGAAAGATGAAAAAAACTAGGAAGCTTTTGCTAGAAACGATATGCTTTAATGAGTTCCACTTAATGAGATCCATTTGCTCTTAGTAAAACTGCTAAGCAAGTTTTTTGTGATAATATGCTCATTACTTTTTATGTTTAATTCTGATATATGTATGCACATTAATATAATGAATTAAACTATGTTTTACAAAGCTTAATCTGATCAATTTCGAATTTTTAAAATATTAGAAAAAATTAAACATCATAAAATATAAAGCATCAATCTAATTCATACAGTTCTTTTAAAAATGGAATTAAATTAAGTTTTTCACAGAAATAACATGCTGAGGTATTATTTTATTTATTAAAACCCTATAATGTGTCAACAGAACTGTAAAGATTTCTTTTTGAAAATAATTAAAAGTCGGAATTGTCACGTATATCTGAAAAACACTACGCTGAGAAAAAACAGCATGGTCAAAACTACCAAAATATGGTAAAATTTACCGTGTTTTTAGCTCTATGGTAACACCGAAAAGCTCGGTAATTTTTACCAAAGCTCTTTGGCAATGAATTTGGTAAGATTAACAATAAAATACGATTTTATAATCTATTATTTAAAGTTGTCAATGTCGTAAAATTTGATAATTTTATTTTGATACCTACCAGAATATGTATAATTTTCAATGTTACTGACTCTATAGGAAAACCAAAAAGCTCGGTAATTTTTTACCGAAGCGCTATGCTAATAGTTTCAGTAAAAGTAACATTAAAATATAATTTTCTAATGCATGATAAAATTTGGTAAATGTGGCTAAGTTTGAAAGTTTTATCATGATACCTTAGAGCATGGCCTAAAAACCATTAATTTTGAAAAATTTTCTTTTAAGTTTTGTATTTTTTATTAAATGTGTGGTAATAAGAACCATAGTTTTGAATTAGTTCAGAATTTCCGGTAAACCATAACCACATGAACGGAAAAATTACCCATACGAATGGTTTAAATGTCGTAGATTGTGGCGTTATTTGCACGAGAAGTACGGTTTTCTTTACTGGAAATATCATCCATATACAGTTCCGTAACTTAACCATAATTTTTTTTTCATATATACTCGTAACAAGCGTTTATAAGCGTTCTGTAATTTTCCTCCTCTTCAGAACGATGGAACGATATGTAGTTTTACTCCACAATAGAATAGTTCCTATCAATATTGTTTATAATCTTGATAGAAGAGAAGGCAACAAACAAATACAGATTCCATTGATAAGAAAAGTAGAAATTACGAAATTTAAAGCCTATGTTATTAAGCATTTAAACTTTTTCCCCCAAGCGTTTTGCATCAGACGATAAACGAATTAACGATCATTGTTTTATGAATTATGTATTGAATGATGGAGTATACGTCTGAAACGGAAAGTTTTATTTCTCGCAATTTAAAACTTAATAATAAGCCACTTTTCGCCTCTTTCATTTTTAGTTCTTTTTAGAGCTTTACAGAACTCATACTGAATTATATTGCTACATTTTTAATATTTTTATTATTTTCATAATGGATGGTTATGATACCGTATAGTAATTGTAGCTTAAGTTCACAAGCTACGAATAAATACACACTCCTTATTCATCTTGAAAACTAATAAAATGTGCAGCTTCCTGTGAATTGGATGGATAAGTAATGAATATTGATTTATTCATTACTTATTGTATATTCATTACTATTAGTAAAAGTGTTAATGGATAATGGAAGGTTATGATCATTACAATGGATGGTTATGATTATTATAATGGATGATTATGGAACCGTATAGTAATTGTAACTTATGTTTACAAGCTGCTAACTTTATATGCCTCATTAATATTGAAATATGATGTATGCCTGTTATGATACCGTATAGTAATTGTAGCTTAAGTTCACAAGCTACGAATAAATATACACTCCTTATTCATCTTGGAAACTAATAAAATGTGCAGCTTCCTGTGAATTGGAAGGATAAGTAATGAATATTGATTTATATTTGACTATTAGTAAAAGTGCTAATGAATAATGGATGGTTATGATCATTACAATGAATGGTTATGATCATTATAATGGATGATTATGGTATCGTATAGTAATTGTAACTTATGTTTACAAGCTGCTAATTTTACACGCCTCATTAATTTTGAAAACATATAAAATGCTTAGCTTTTTGTGAATCGGATATGAAAGTAATGAATATTGATTTATACCTGACTCTTAGTAAAAGTGTCAATGGATGATTTAAGGTTATGATAATCATAATGGATGGTTATTATACCGTATAGTAATTGTAGCTTAAGTTCACAAGCTAGCTACTTATAAATATATTCCTCATTCATGTTTAATACCTATATAATGGTCAACTTCATGTGAAATGGAAATGTAAGTAAGGAATATTGATTTATATTTGACTATTAGTAAAAGTATCATTTTATGATTAACTACATTTAACATGAATTGTTTTTAATTTCAAAAAGTCGCCAAATTTAAAAATCTAAATCTTTATTGGGTAAAACCATAAGAAAAAAATGTAAACAGGCTGTTGCAGCTTTGGTAATACTTAAAAGTTAGCATTAAGTACAGTACCAGTTTCATTCAACAATTCTTTTTACCGCATGTTGATGATTCATCTTTTTAAAGGAAAAGAAATCTAACTTTAAAGGGGATAAAATGTATAGTTCAGTTGCACAAAAACAAGAAATGATTATAGTGCACCAAATTCAAAATCTTAAAACCAAAGGGCGGTAGAAACTACTTCTGATGCAAAAGCATAAAAAGAGAAAAAAATCGTGAAGTCTGTATTTACAGTTGCTTGACAACTTGACGGAGCAACAACTTGAACAGAAAAATATTTCAGAGAACTTAAATATAACAGAGAAATACACTTAGAAAATGAAAAATAAAAGAAAATTATTTATCTTGACATGCAAGTGCAAATACAAGAACATAAGCGAATGGCGAAAGGGGGCAATTGCCTGAGCCTGTACGCGTGGCGGTATAATTAACGAAGTTGCTTGATTTATTGATGTGTTACGACGTTCTGTACAGCATGTTTAGAGAAAAAGATATAATTTGCGTGATCGTGCAACACGAGATCATAATTCTGGTAAAAAAAAAAGAATTAAACCAAGAGGGACTGAAGATGAGTTTCGCAGAATTCTCTACTGTTGCGTTCAAGTCATTTCTTAAGGGCTGATTAAATTTGAAACGAAATATGATAACTTTAATGATTAATTAAATTCCTTTATATAAGTACAAAACAAAACTATAAGATGGCGGTTTTTCGAATTTTACGCACAATAAAATGGTCACCAATGGAGTTTGGTCGCTCCTCCATTGACTTCAAAATGTTATGGAAGGTAAATGATTTTTCGCAGGCAATTTTAATTTTACTAAGTGTCATTTTCTTGGTGTAGAAATGCAACTTTTGTTGGCGTCATGAAAATCGTATCGATGAATAAAATTTAGCGTCAATAAAAATGACCCTTACTGATTCATAATTCGTTAATGTGTAAAAACACATTTACCAATTATGAATGATAGAAATATTTAAAATAAATAAACAATTATATTTTTCGTTTATGTTTGCGATTAATTTTATTTTAGCAAAACTGGTTAACTTTAAGAAATTAAAAGGCTTGTTAGTTTAAGAGGCTTAGTTTTTATAAAATAACTTCTTTTTTCCAATTTAACTTTTAACTCGTAAACTAAATCATTAATAGCATAGTCTTCAGTGCACTCTGTCTGTAAGATGAGATTGTCAATCTCTTTCAGCAATCGTGAAAAAGAGCTCTCTTAGTAAGAACCTCTCAGAAATATTTTGAATATATTTGAATCTACTTATTTGTTTTGTTAATATTTTGTAGTTTGATATTTTTTCGTGTTTCTTCCTCGTTTTGATCTATTGCACATTTGGTGCGGAGGTTTTCCCGGTCGCGTGGGGGAGGTTTTGATGGTTTTTCTACTAAAGGTTTTCTTCAACACCAGGTCCATGGAAAAAATTCCGTGCTTCCCAAAAGTGTTACTAGCAGAGGTAGTCTTTCCTGGAAGTTTCACTGTATATATATAGAAAGACAAGAAAAGAAATAGAAATTTTTTTTTAAAAATTAAAAAAAAAAACATTGAAAGTAGTTTTAGTTATTTTTAATAATTTTTCTTCTTCTCTTTTAGAGTGTGCTTTTCGTTTTTATTTCTTTCCTTTTTATGCCGGGTATTTGCCAAAAGAAGGTCGATAATACAGGGTTCCAAAGACGAAAAAAAATTGAGAACCGCTGCTCTGCATAAATAAAAGACAAATAAAAACGATAATGCAATGATTAAATTGTTCTTACCAGATAATGCTATGGCCACTTTCTGCATACCTCCTAGAGGAGCAAGAGCATCTCTAGCTTTTTTACCGAATAACTTTTCCAGGTAGTTTGGCCCATGATTCAAAATAAGAGTATGCAAGAAATTCGCTGTTTCTTCTACAGGTGGTCTTTTAGCTAAAAAAGAAAAAGTAATATAAAATTTTTTTCAACGTTTAATAAAAATTTGAAATTTCCAGATTCAAACAGCAATGAACTTCGTAGAATAACCATATTAAAATATAAAAAAATTGCTAATGACATTAAGTTCATGAATTTTTCAATGATTGCAATAATAGATTTGAACAATATTTCATATGAAAAAAA